AAACTCCGAACACTTTTCCAGATGAAAGACTCCCTCTTCCCTACTACGTGATATGCAGATGGGACATCTGCTTTGGGGAAAGGGGATGCTGGAGGCTTCTCTTTTCTCCTTTCCCATTCTCTAGTTGGTTATTGGAGCATGAGACAGGCGTACAAAATGGGGAGCAGAAACTTCTTATCAGACTGGGATTCTTATATTTTTTGCTTTCTGAGCCTGACATATAATAATAATAATGATAACAACAACAAAAAAACTACAAAGAAAATAGCTGACACATAGTGCTGGTTATTTATAGAAATAGTTCTAAGTGCTTTATTTGTATTGATTTCTTTAATCTTCATAACTGAGGCAAAGAGAGGTTAAGCAATTCTCCCAGGGTCACCTAGCAGGTAAATAAATGGTGGATGTGGGATGTTAACCTAAGCAGTCTGGCTCCAGGCTCTTTCTCCCACAGGCACATCTTAGAGAGTTTCCTTTCTGGGCCTCTCTGATTAAATCCTAGGATGTGATGATGCATTTCTTCAGCCCCAGGTTTTGCAGCAGCCAATGCCACACAGAACATTGTCTTTGTGGGCATAACTAGGCTTCAGGTTGGAGCCTTCACAAATTCTGAAAGTGCAGCCTGGCCCAGATGAAGCCACCTCTCCTGAAATGATTGATAACCACCCATTTTCCATGTTATCTCACTCATTACACTTTTCAGGGGGGAGTGAGAACCCAGTATACTGGCTTCCCAAGTCCAGGAGCTACATCAAGCTCCAGGTATATGCCTTTGAAGCCTCTTTTAGGTGAAAAGTGAGAGCCTCCTGCATCCCCTCACCAAGTAAATCCCTCCCCTTTGTAAATCTCCACCCACCCAGCCCTTGTATACCCTCATTAGAGATAAGGGTTCAGAGGCCTGAAAGTGGTTCTTGGTAATTTCCTTTGAAAATTATAGTATCTCCTTTGGAATTTTATTTTTATCATATCTTGATGTCTTAGGACTTCCAATGTGTTGTCTTATGCATATATTTCTACCTATATTGTACTTTTGCAACTGGCAAAATTTGATTTCCTTCTTCTCTTTAATAACTTACTCTGAAATTATACATCTTTATGGCAATTAAGGCAATTAATTGGAAAAAACCTTTATTTGCCCAAATAAAATTATTTATACACACATGTATGCACAATCATATATGTATGTGTACATATACACACATTATATGTCTGTGTATATATACATTATATATCTAATCTACATATCTATGCAACTGATGATTTGTAGGCATCCTGGGAGATTTTTTTCAAATTTTTTGAAAATTCCCTTAACTCGATTTACTGGAACATATTTTGGACCAGAAGTCAGAAAATGTATTTTCTAATAATTTTGATAATAAGAGTTAAGTCATAATTATGTTAATGTTTATAATAATTAATACTTAAATTGCAATACTTCATTACATTTACAAAGTACTTTGCAGTTCACAGTTGGTTTGCACACACATTATTATGTGCCATTTTAGTTCTGCCAAGCAAAAAGCCACTCATTCTTGCCCCTTGGGCATCAAGTTTTAACCTTTTTAATTTCTGTTTCTTCATCTGTAAAATACCTGGGAGTTTCAGAAAAGATGAGACAGACGCCTTAAGTGCTTTTCCAAAGACTAAACTCAGAAGAGCCTCTTGTATTTTTTGTAGGGTCAGGTCTAGATTCCTCCAGGTCCACTCCTTGGTAGGATTCATTTGTTCCATATGCTGCACTTTTTTCTGTCCAGGCATTGTGAAATACAGATAAATGAGGGGAAAGGCTGAGGTCAGCTTTTGGTGTAGTATAGAATCATTCTTTCCCTTCAGTCGTAGGGTTCCAAGGCCCAGAACCGAGGGGTTTCCTAATCATGTCCAAGAATACCTTGACTCATCCTTTCCCCTCCTGAAAGCTTTTCTGGAAACCTGAAGTGTCTCCTCTAAAAAGCCTCTCCTGATTTAGCCAGGCAGAGTTCAACATTCTTGCCTTTGGCTGGCCCTTAAGGGAATTCTAGTGTTCCGTCTTGATTTTTGGCTTAAGAATTAAATGAAAGGTAGACTTGAGAGTCAACTGGAGGGAACATCTCTTTGGAGGAGGAAACATATTAAATTCTTGGGGAGGAATATGAAGTTTGGCAAAGGTCTCTGGGTGTATTTGAAACTTTCTTTCTCACACTGAATTGTGGATCTAATAAAACCCTCTCATTTTACACATGAGAAAAGTGAGGTTTTAAGTGTTAAAGTAACTTTCCCAAAATTTCACCAACAGATTAATGGGAATGCTCTACTGAAATTCAAAATCCTAACTTCTATTCCAATCTGATATTTTTTCTAGTCACACACTATGGATTAAAAAATAAGTTGTGTTCACAGGGCGTCTGTCTTCAGTAGGCCTTTTTATGTGTCTGTCCCTATGTAATCATATTGTTAATCTGCTTGGTCAAAACACTCTTGGGAAGGCCTTAGGATCCAAAACTCAGGTAATAATGGAGCAAGAGACAGAGATGCACATAGATTTTCATCTTTCTTCACTCCGTGCTTTGCATTCATAGAAGCCTAAACACTCCTTATTTATGGCCCCATCACATTTTGTGAGCACTTATATTCCTCTACCCAAGCACAGCTCACTTATTTATTGAATTTTGCCTCTTTACTATAGGCTTCATAAAGATATCCACTATGTAGATATAAAACAAGCTTATTATTACTACTATTAAAATAATAATTATGAATTATTACAAAGGAGACATTAATTTTTTTAAAATCCTCACCCGAGGATATTTATTTTCATTGATTTTTAGAGAGAGAGGAAGGGAGAGAGAGAGAGAGAAAAAACCCCACATTATGTGAGAGAGAAACATTGGTTGGCTGCCTCCCATAGGCACCCCTACTGGTGATGAAACCCACAACCTAGGTATGTGCTCTGATTGGAAATCGAACCTGCAACCCTTTGGTGTAGGACCACGCTCCAACTAACTGAGCTACCCATCCAGGGCAAAGGAGACATTCTTCACTGTTAACATTGTTTGGTGTAAATTCTTATATTTGGAAATAATAATAAATAGAATTTTAATGATAATATCAAATTCAAAAGGCTTAACCTGACATGTAGATAAATTATAGTTATTTATCAGACTTAAGCCTCAGAAAAGGAAAATAAAGTTGTCCTGTTACTTTGTATGTTCTCATTGGCATCATCCTTGCAAAGTGTGAAAATGATCTGAGTTGAATCCATATCTACCACCTAACAACCCTTCTGTGAATTAGACGGCATACACTGTTTACAGATGTGATCACCGAGACCCGGGCTGTTTCATAACATCAAGCACATGCTTGAGCTTAGCTTGAAATTGTGGTCATCCGACACCAGTCCAGTGCACCCCATGTACCCTGTTGGAACTGTATGTCATATTTTGATTTAAACAAGAAAACTGAACTTAGAGATTGATGATCTAAGTGCATTTTTACGGTAACTTTGTCAATAATCATTCAAACAGCACTTCAGAGGTTAGTGATGCCTTAATAATAGATCAGCTAAATAAAGGTTACTCTAAAAAGCTTATAAATCACACAAAAGAATTCTTAGCACAAGTACTGAATTCAGTGTTTTGTTCCAGTTAAGTCAGAAATGTTAGGCTCATTGATACTATGGAGTCATATTAGTTGATGACACATCTTAAACCCGATTAAACAGATAGAAAATGAAAAATACCAGAGGCGGCCTCCTATAGAAGGAGCATGCGTGGGCGGCAGGGTCAGCCAGGTGCTTGCTACAACCCCAGCCATGCTCCTTTCTTGTAGAGTATCTTTTAGGCAAGTTGCTTACCCTTTCTGAGCCTCAGTTTTCTCTCCTATAGAATGGGCACAATAATACTTATATCCATATTTGTTGTGGCAACTAGTGATAATGTAATGTGTCCAGAACAACCTCCAGAATACTTAAGGAGCTCAATAAAACACAACTGTGGTTTCCATTGTTATTATTAACACTGTTATTAGTACATCTATATTACAATTGAATGCATAATAAAATAAAGATAAGAAAGATTTTTTATTAGAATCACCTTCTCCCCTTTTAGCACTAATGAGTTCTTGTTATTACAGGGAAGGAGCAGCATCGCTAGTTAAAAGGAAGCACTTCCTTCTTTCTAAAAGGCCAATTACAGTAAATTTATAGGGGTTACAGCAAAAGAATAGGCTAGCTAGAGATAAAATTCTTGTGTAAAAAGAAGTGCCTGGCAAATGGCTTAGAATGTCAAACCTCTGTGTCCCTTGTTTCATTTCTTTGCACCTCTGTTTCTGATGTAACAAGGAAGAAGTCTAAGATCTGTCCCGTACAACTCTGCATGCCTGGGTTTTGTGAAATGCCCTAGAGAAAACTGGCTCACAGTCGGGAAGGGGAGACAAGGAAACAAGCATTTCTATACCCCGACTCATGAATGCACAGGCATCCAGCATGTATCTCTGTTGCCTGGGAGTCTGGAGGAGAAGAAACTAGTTCTGCCTCTGGGTTAGGAGGGTTCTCAGATGATTCCCTGTGAGGCCCTGAGAGGCCAGCTGCTGAGGAAACCTGTGTCAAAAACCTAGTTCTTAGAGTAATACAAAAAGCAAAGGATAGGCCTTGGCTGAGTGCTCAGTTAGTTAGAGCTCCGTCCCGATACAACAAGGTGGCAGGTTTGATCCCTGGTCAAGGCACATACAAGAATCAACTAGTAAGTACATGGATGGGTGGAACAGTAAATTAGTGTTTCTCTCTCTCCTTTCCCTCTCTCTCAAATAAATAAATACAAATTTAAAGAAAGCAAAGGATAATTTCTTATGCCTCAATAAGAATAGAAATTATACACCTCATTTTCTGCAGCACTGTACCAAAGAATTTCTCAGTCTTCTCCTATACTTATAAATATACCAATAAACACATTGATAATATACATGTCAGCTAGTATATATTGCAGCATATAATGTAGAGAAGATAACATCTCTTTCCTTATTTGCAGCAAAACCAAGGCAAATGCCCAGCCCAGAATTGTTCTGTGGAAGCCCCTGCTTGGATGCCTGTCCACCACTGTACTGTAAGTTTGGTTATTTCATTATTCCAAGGTCAGCCAGATTGAAGTGGAATTAATTCTATATTTTGAAACAACCTTAGTGGAATGGTCTAGAACATTCTCTGAAATTCTACAGTAGAGTAAACCTTTTGAAAGGAGAGTGTGTTTTCAGAAATCTCTGTATTATAAGAAAGAAATACCTTTGCTTTGGAAGTCTATGCTTTTTTTTTTTTAAGTTGGGGTAACTTGCAAAGGATTTATCTAAATGGGTTATGGATGATTTAAATTTGGAGAGTCATTAAAATGAATATGTTTGCAAATACCTTTTTCTCAGTAATACTTGATTTAGATGTGTTAGGGTAAGGATGCGCTCCCTCTGTCATTGTGTTTTCGGTTTAATAGCAGTAAGTACAGGGATTTACCATTTTCAAGTTTTCCTGGTGTAATAATAGTCTCTGCATTAGTTTGAAATCTTTCATCAAAGGTTTTTCCAGTGCCTTCGAAAGAAACAGTCATTATGTCATTATTTCTGTTTCACGAATGGGATATTTAAATGCGAAGGAAGTAAGAAGAGTGAATCAATGATAAAGCTGGGGCCAGACCCCGGGACCCCTAACTCTCCTGTCATGAACTCCTTCTGCCACGCTGCGCTCCTAAGTGCACACAGAAGTGGCCCATTGGGGTCACATTCTCCTGTTCACGCAGCGCCTGAGAGGTGACAGGGGTCTTCTGGGAGCTATGTGCACTCTAACCCACAGCTTACCTGTCATGAGGCAAGTTCTGTGTGATGGGGACCAGAGGTTGGAAAGTTACTTTTTGGGCATTGCCCTCATTTACCAGCCTCGCCGGCAGTGTGCTGTGATCCCTGGAGCGTCTTGAACCCCGTGTCTGTCTCTGAGGCGTGAGCTGCTGCGGGGTGCCAGTGGGCTAGTGCAGTGCGACTCACCTGTGTCAGAGGGCAGCAGGCCTGGGGGAGCCCGCTTTTCACTCGGATTGTGCAAGAGGAAAGGATTGCTTTTGTTTATCGGTGGAAGGAAGAAGAGGTGGGATTGCCTTTAATGAAGGAGAGATGGTGGTGTCAAGTTTTAGAGGCAGCCCTGCAGTGCGGAGGCAGCCCAGGCCTGCGGGAGACTCGGGGAGTAAAGGTGCCACGCTTTTGTGAGCAGGTGGTCAGAGGGGCCTGCGTGCTTAGGGAGTCTGCTGATGCCAGAGAAAGGATGCATGCTCATACTTCTATTTCTTCATCGATCATTCTGTTCACTGTATCTCTGATATGATCTCACAAGCACTGATTTATGTGTCTGTTTCTCCAAGGAGACCATGTACTCTTCAGGGTCCTAGTATATCTCCCTCTAGGGGGATCCCCAGTCCATGACAGGAGCTCTGTCAGTGCAGGTTCAGTGAACAAATCTTCAGTCTGTTGATTTCCTTTTTGCTAAGTTTCAGTAAATTATCTCACATTTTTTGATGAAGAGGAATAATGACGCTATTTTACCCTTTCAGGGGAGTGGTTTCCATTTCTCACCTTCAAGGGTCCTTTGGTACTTTTTTCTTCACAGTGTACCATTGAATATGTGTTTGGAGGTATTTTGTTTGTAGACTAGATACATTTAGCAGTTAAACTCAGCTGTGGAAGGCACTGTGCCAAGTGCTGAAGGTACAACATTATCTTGTGTTACCATTTTATCAAACACATCCATGTGTAGCACTAATAAAAATGTCTGATTAGTGGCTGCAGTGATCACTTCAGCCCCAAATAAAAGAAGTGTGGCACTTTAGTTACTTTGTCCAGTCTTATTGCAAGCCTATCCATTGTTAGAATTTTCCTTTTGAATTATTAAAAATAATTCTTCATTATTACTTTGGCGTTGGACCCTTTAGGATCGGGGAATCCCAGGGTAGGTCTTCCTCTTGTAGGACATTAAGGGCTAAACAGATGCCTACATTTAAGACCCTTCCTGAAGATCACAAGTCAGAAATGCTGACATGAAAGTCTGATTCTCAGGTGTATGGTCAGGTGAAAGCATTAGAAACTAGGTGTTTCTTCTGGCTTCTGCCACGGAATGGGAGCTGCTGATTGCAGTTTCCCTGTGCCATTTTCTTACTAGTAATTATATCTCCAAGTGGGGCAGGCATGTTCTGGAGGAGTTGCACAACCCGTATGATTTGCTTTCTCTGAGACTAGCCCCAATCCACAGGGGAAGGTTCCCAGTGGCTGAGTTTAGGTTATGAGTCTGCCTCTGGCCTTAAGTGACTGATCCAGGGGTAGATATCTGATCCCAACTGAGCCAGTTGGATTCTTTCTCCTGGGAGTTTGAAATTTGTCTTAGAGGGATGCTAAACTTCAAATACTGAATCACATGAATGACAATAGTTTGGGAAATTTCTGTGAACCTCAGTTGTTGAGATCCCTGGAGCTGCCCTATTTCAACCTTTCTGCAGTTTTGCTTACTCAAATCTCTTTTTGGTTTTGTAAAAAGGTCACAATAATCTGCTGATAATCAATAAGTTACTTTTTTTTCTTGTTATCCAGATTTTGTTTTGTTTCATTTTGTTTGTTTGGGGGAGTTTAATAGTCTTTGATGTACTTGCAACCAAAGAGAAAAGAAAAGCCCCTTAACTAGTATCTCTAGTCAACAACATTTATGGAACTCCCACTAGGGCTGATGCAATTAGTAGTTATCTCAGATGGAAAGAAGCCCTGAGAACACTGGGATTTTAATAATTTATAATAATATATTTATTCCAAATATCTTACTATATACAATGCTTAAGTACATAAAAAATGACAAAGGAATAATTTGGTAATGACTTAATCCGCATCATAGAATGAGAAATATGTGTAGGTAGCTATATAGTTAACATAAGCATATTTATATAACAAAAAGCAACATATGATGGATAAAATAGTTATGGTGTTAAGTTCCATTTTTTCTTCTCTCAGGAAATAGAGATCTTAGCCTCATGTGGTTAAGAGAATGTCTCATCTGTCTCAAATTTTCCATGGACTGAAGCAGGTTATAAATAAATTAATACATACTTACATTCATAATAAATGGGTAGACTTTGTTATCTTTGTGCATTTTTCAAGTTCACTTGATTCTTTCCTACGTTCCTTTCCCCAGTGTCCTACTGTTCCTTGGTGTTATGTTCCAAAATGATTGTATCCTTCTAATTGAGCCTTATTAGTTTTTCAAAAAAGGCTTTGGTCTTTGTGTGTGCATTTGCCCCTGGTTCATTTTAAGTGCAGAGCTTTTATCGTTGGTTTCCCTAAGAAGGCTCTCTCTCCAAATTGCTTTGCAGATGCCTGTCACCAGTTAAATAATGCCTTGAAAATGGCTTCTATTACTATGTGCTCAGGCTCCTCCTGGATGCTTTTTTTTTTTCCTTTTTGACACTCCATATCTCTATAATAATGAGACCAAGAGATATTTTTAAAGACTTTTCCTTTTAGCCAGAACTATAATGCACAGATCGGGGTTCAAATTGAATAGAAATTTTATCCCAAATTATACAGAAACATGGGCATAATGTTACTTCTTGACTAGGTATAAATGAAATATCTTTCCCAGTGAGAAATGTGACAGTTTTAGTGTTTATTGATCTCTCCTTCTATGGCTATTTAAGCATTAGAATGATACCCTTCCTCACCTCTACACTTTAAATTAAATAGGGTTGTATGCCTCATTAGTTTGTATGATCGTGAACATGAACACTGTGGTTCCCGGAGCCCCTGCCACTTATAAACAAATGAAAAGAGACTCACAGGCTCTGGGGCTCAGGTGAAGACATTCAGGTATCTGAATCTGGAGTGAACTAGGCTAAGAGTTAGTTCCTGGCACCTGGAAATAAAGGACCTTAGACTTGATCAGGCGCAGGAGACTTGAATGGCTGCTGCCTTTCAGGGCGTGTCTCTAGAACACTCAGTATTGCTATGGCCTGTACATGGATTTGATCATTTTGAGGAACCCCCCAAACACAATCCTTAGTTACTGGCCAGTACTTAGAAATGGCTGTCATGTGTGATTGTATTAATTAGATATATGACATATGAATACATATGATTTTTCTTGAATAATTGATTTGTTTCCCTGTATGAGAACATACCCTTAGTGGCTGGAAATTAAAAAAATAATATTATGAGAGGAGTTTCCAAAAGCTAAGTTGAAAATAAAGTCCCTGTTCTTATGAAGCTTATGATGGATATTTTATACCTATATATCTCTATTGTTACATAAGATTCATCCATAAATATATATGTGAAATATTTTCAAAAATTATGTAAGCATTGACAAAATAGAATATGGCGCTCTGAATACATCGACTTTCGTTTACTCATTCAAGAAACATTTACTGAGCACATTTTGTAAGTTGTCACTGACACTTGGAGTGCTCAAGGTATATGAAAAATAATACATGTAAATATCATTATACTGGGTGATATATGCTTTATGATGGTGTATACAAAAAGCTATGCATTTTCGGAATGTAGAGTTGTCTCAAGATGGATTTTAGAAGACAAAAGATGCAATATTTGGTAATAGTTAAGTGTATAAGCTTTAGAATTGAAGAAGATTTGCATAAATACATGAACTCTGCCACTGACAAACTGTATGAACGTGCACAGTTTACTTCTCTCTGAGTTTATGCATGCGGCAGGATATTTTGAGATTTACATGAGATAATGTGTAGCTCATATTAGCATAGCTTCTGGATGTAGCAATTGCTTGATAAATGGTAAGAGGAAAAAGAAAAAAGATTATTCCAGAAAGAAATGGATGGGGCACAATGAATTGGTGAGTGAGAACATAAACAACAACAACAAAGGCAATAACTTGTTAATTTAGGGCAATTTATTTAGGAGGGGCCTTTCTTCAGAAAGGGACTCAGGCTGGGATTAAAAACAGTTCCAGGAGTTATACAACAACTCTTTCAGACTTTGAAAGCAGAAATATTGAAGCTCTTGAAAAGAAAGGTTTTGCTCTCTGACAGACAGGAAGGAACTGATGGTATAAGAATATCAT